ATCTGATTGGCTGAAACTTTAAACAGCTATAAGTCCCTTGGTTTTCAACCAAACGGGGTGGGATTTAGAACACAGATAGATGTAATGGACTTTTACAAGAAGGTATGGTTACCATGCTCATGTATGCACGTGCGTGCACGTGAAATGAGTAAAATCAAAAATACACTTGAATGAGCATATTTTTTAATACTTTTGGATTAAATACTTTAATATTTAGCATATTTAAATATATAGATTGTATAGGCAAGATGATATGGTCATAACGCACATGCATTCACATGCGCACGCGTTCGATGCTAAAATTTGAATGAACTTGGTACACTTCTGGGTAAACGTTGGTAAAGTCTCAAATGCATCGAGTTTGTCTTATTTAATGAAGTTTACAGGGAATATGGCACCAAAAGGGAGTTGGGGAGCGTTTGGGGAACATCTGTAACGGTCCCCGTTACAATCAGCACTAGTTTCATAGACTTTGAAGAAAAAAACGGAAAATGTTATTTCTGTAACTAAATATATGCAAGACTTAATATGTTAGATTAAAAATAATTATTTCTAAGGTAATTCTCCGATAAAAAAAAAAACAGATTTTGTTCGTTCTATTAGACGATGTACATGTATGTGGGTCGTATAATTTGATTGAATTGGATATCATGATATGCAGAAAGGGGGATACAATTGAACAAAAATGGCAGCATGGAATGACTTAAATTATAATTATCCTTATGTTTCCAATGATTCAATGTCTGATAAACTTGCCAATTATTCAACTTTTTTATTTGCAGAAAATTAAAATTAATTAATTACAAATAGGCTCAAGAGATAAACACAGATAATCAAAACTCCCGAAAATCATGCCGTGTCCATGTATATTTGTCGACTAACTAGTTATATAAGCATTGAGAAATGTTTATTTCTTTGTAAAAAAAAATATATATATATAAATTTTCAATGAATTGATTTCAAGATTATCTTGACCACAATAAGAAGTAAATAATAATTAAAATCAGATTTTTCAAAAAGGCGTTAAAGATCTAAGTACGGTTTATCACAGTATTTATCGCGCTATTTGACGAGAACTTAATATTGTACGACTTACTATATTGCTTGTTTATGGGCGATAATTAGTTCGTTCTGCATTCTATTATGTAAATTGCGCTTTTTCATTTTATTTGGATTTTAATCAATAAATTAAGAAAAACAAAAAAAAGGAAAATGCTTATTTTACAAATAACATTACGATAAAAACTTACAAAACGAAATTTACACGATTCTAAACGCACGATCTCGTACGATTAAAAACGCACACGATTGAGTCTGATACACGAACGATCTTGCACGTTACACGAACGATCACTCACGATACACGAACGATTCTACACGATTGGTTTGTCAACAATAACGTTCCAGCCACTGTATTAAATAAACTAACTAAGTACATAGTTATGATGAGCAAGAGTGCCTCTACCAAAATTGTGAATTTTATGGCCCCAGGGTCAGGGGTTCTGATGTTAGGGTGGGGCTCTATTGATTATAAATAGTGAAAATACATGAATTCTTTGAAAATCTTCTTCTCTGCTCCTAGGTATTAAATAAACTAACTAAGTACATAGTTATGATGAACAAGAGTGCCTCTACCAAAATTGTGAATTTTATGGCCCCAGGGTCAATGGTTCTAGTGTTGGGGTGGGGCTCTATTGATTATATAGTGAAAATACATGAATTCTTTGAAAATCTTCTTCTCTGCTCCTAGGTATTAAATAAACTAACTAAGTACATAGTTATGATGAGCAAGAGTGCCTCAACCAAAATTGTGAATTTTATGGTGCCAGGGTCAAGGAATCTGGTGATTGGGGGAGGGGGGAGGGCTCTATTGATTATAAATAGTGAAAATACATGAATTCTTTGAAAATCTTCTCCTCTGCTCCTAGGAATTAAATAAACTAACTAAGTACGTAGTTATGATGAGCAATAATGCCTCTTCTAAAATTATGAATTTTATGACCCCAGGGTCTGGGGTTCTGATGTTAGGGTGGGGCTCTTGATTATATAGTGAAAATACATTAAGTCTTTGAAAATTTTCTTTTCTGACTCTGGGTATAAAGCAGATGAACTACCTATATAGTGATGATGAGCAAGGGCCCTAATCTTGCAGAATTGTGAATTTCAAGGCCCCAGGGTCAGGGGTGGGGTGGGGGTGGGGGGGTCCTACTTATATACTGAAAATGAATTAATTGTTTGAAATCTGCTCCTTTGTATTTATAAAACATTTATTTATTTTTGGATAGGCAATTTTAAGGGTGCCTTTTAAAAATTTGTGCAATGTGTGGACCTAAGGTCAGGGGTTTATGTCACAGTGTTAGGGGCACTACTGATTATTGCTGAATATTACTGATTTGTTGGAGTGCATTTATGTTCCCCTACCCTGCGTATGGGTATTCAGTAACCAAGCTAAGCAACTGCTAAGTGTATTGTTATGATGATCAGTGGTGCCTCTTTCAAAATTGTGAATGCCATATAGCATCTGGCTTAAAACATGAATCAAATTCAATACACTGCAGGGATCGACACTAACTTTAAAACCATAGTTGTCAGCAGGGCTAGTAATTTCTAATTTTTACTAGCCCTGTTCATCTATTAGTTGTCCAGCAGCCAAAGGCTGCTGGCCGAGTCGCGAAGCGACGAGGGGTGTATGTGCGGGAGGGGGTTTCCCCCTCCTGCTGGTGGGGGTACAGGGGGCCTCCCCCGGAAAATTTTGAAAATAGAGATGCGAAATCCAGCATTCTGGCTGAATTTTGGGTGTAAATTATATGTCTCTCTATGATTGTACCTAAGACATTTTTACTGTTCGAAAAATTCTATATTTATATCATTTAGGGTATTTTGAATCACCTTTAAAGTTTACATTTTTGACTTAAAAAATTATAATTATGCTGATAAAACATATTTGAAAATAAATTTAACAATTATCAGGTATATTGTATGTAAATTATAATAATTTTTCGTGCTCTTAGTGAGTAATTGGTAAAATTTACTGTAGCCCTGCAGGGCAAGTTTAAAGACATGTTTGGTAGCCCGACTTCAATATTCAGTTGTCCCGGGCCAGCGGGCTAGCGTTAGTGTCGAACCCTGCACTGTAACTGGAAAGTTGTTGCATAATGCTCAGGTGACCTATAAGGCCCGTGGGCCTCTTGTTGATGGTTTCAAACATGTTTTAAAAATGTAAATAGAAGGAATGTTTTAAGTTTTGTGTGAGTTATTGGTGTGAAAAATCACACAGACTTGTCACATAGGCATATTTCATGAAGCGTGCTAATGCTTCATGAAAAATATGCCTACGTGCAAGTCTGTGTGATTTAACACACCAATAATTCACACTAAACTTAAAAACATTCCTAATATTTACATTTTAAATGAAGGCATACCTAGGTAAAGTAGAATCAAGTTTGCTCAAATCATGACCGGTGCCCCCAGGGGTAGGATGGGGGACAATGAGCAATCAAACTTTTAAATTTCAAAGCATGGAAATATCAATAATAAACTTTCTCAACAACATTAAAGCCTTGATTTGATATACTTATAAGGGTGCATGCTCAGGTAGTGCAGTTTCAAGTTTGTTTAAATCTTGACCTTTGTGGGTAGGGTGAGGCCACAATGGACGATTGAAATTTTACATAGGAATATGTAGGAAAATTGTTTAAAAATCTTCTTCTCAAGAACAGAAAAGCCATGATCAGTCATATTTTTATGCAAGCATCCTCAGGTAGTGTAGATTCAAGTTAAATCATGACCCCCGGGGGTAGGATGGAGCCCCAATGTACGATCAAAGTTTTATATAGGAATATAGATAAAATCTTCTCCCCTAGAACAGCAAAGCCATGATTGGTCATGTTTATATGGATCATTCTCAGGTAGTTTGGAATTTTGTTCAAATCATGACCCCCAGGGGTAGGGTGAGGCCACAATGAACTATAAATTTTTACATAGAATATACAGGGAAAAACTTCAAAAATCTTCTCAAGAACTACAAAGCCATGATTGGTCATATTTATATGGTAGTGTAGATTCAAATTTGTTCAAATCATGACCCCTGGGGGTATAGTGGGGCCACAATGGACAATAAAAATTTTATAGAGGAATATGTAGGAAAAATCTGCTCATGAACAACAAGCCATGATTGTGTAGATTCAAATTTGTTTAAATCATGAATAATTGGGGGTAGGGTAGGGCCAAAATTAAAGTTGAAACTTGTAGGGAAAAAAGCCATGTAAGGGATTAATAGTTTTTGCCCTTTCTGTCTGTCCATCTGTTTGTTCCTCTGTCTTTCTTTTTGTCAGCAGAAACTTTAACCTTGCTCAAAACTTTTGAGTGGGTGGCACTATGGCTTTCGTATTTCACAGGTATATTCCTTGTGACAAGACCTTCATTGGGTACCACCAAATTTGACCTCTTGACCTTAGAGCTGGGCCCACTTTTACAAAAAATTATCTCTTTTATCTTGGTCATAACTTTTGAACTGTTCGTGCACATGATACTTCACAAGTGTATTCATTGTGACAAGACCTTTCAGTGGGAATAAATATCTTTGACCTTACTGTTTGACCCTTTTTAAAAAATTTAACCTTGGCCATAACTTTTGAACAGTTAGAAGAAGGGCTTTCAAATTTCACAGGTGTATTCCTTGTAACGAGATCTTCCTTTAGGTACTAGCAATTTTGACCTTGAATTTTGGAGTTTGACATGTATGAATTTGAGAAAATTCAACCCTGGCCTTAAGCTGCCATACAGGGGCAGCAGTGTTTCACAAACACATCTTGTTTTATCTTAAAATATGATGTCTTTGAAGCTCTCCAGGCTTTTGAAGTTTTTGGTTGGAAAGGGGATTTAAAATACAATTTTGACATCATTCAGATTTGATAATTGGTAATTGTTTGCAAAATTTAATTTGCATATAGATCAACGTGGTAGCAATGAATAATGATGTAAAATATACTGTTTTACAGGTTTCAACATTGCATACAGACGACAGAGAAAAAGTAAGATAGGTCCACAGCACAAGATTTCAAAAGAGGAAGCCATGAAATGGTTTCAGCAGAAGGTATAAAATATTTAGGAGAAATTTGCAAACAGAAAAAAATACAAATGTTAGGAGATTTGGAATGAAAAATAATTTTGAAGTTCAATAAAGAGAGTTTTTAGCTCGACTGGTCAGAGACCAGAAGAGCTTGTGCGATAGTAATGATCTGTCGTCTGTCTGTCTGTAAACAATTTTCAAAATGCTACTCCTCCTATAGTTTTGGTCTGATTTCAATATAACTTAGCACACAAGTAGACTACACTAGGATACATAATTCTAATAATTGGTTTTTGATTTCAATGAACGGTGTTGCTGTGCTTACTAAAAATAGAAATTTTTTGTGAAATAGTTTTAAAATGCTACCCCTCTTACAGTTTTGGTTTGATTTCAGCATAATTTGGCACACAAGTAGATTTAACTAGGATACATAATTCTGTAGTTGGTTTCTAGATTTCGATGAATAGTGTTGCCATGGTTACTAAAATAGACATTTATGTGAATTTTCAAATGCTACTCCTCCTACAGATTTGTTCTGATTTCAATATAACTTGGCATACAAGTAGACTACACTAAGATACATCATTCTGTTTATCAGTTTTCAATTTCGATGAACGTGTTGCCTTGGTTACATAAAATAGAAATTTCTGTAAAATACTTTCAAAATGCCACTCCAAATACAGTTGTAGTCTGATTATAATATAATTTGGCATGCAAGTAGACTACACTGAGATACATAATTATTAGTTTTGTGTTTTTGATGAACGATGTTGCCATGGTAACTAAAATTGAAAATGCTGTAAAATTTTATTAAAAGCTACTCCTACAGTTGTAGTCCTTTTGCAGTCTTGCTACAAAAAGAGACTTAATCAAGGATCATTATTCTATTTATTGGTTTTGTAAAGTTTTATGTCCCAACTGCTACTTTTCTCTTCCTTTATTATAAGTTCAAACAAGTAGAGCTACAGTCGACATTACCATTATGCACAATGAGAAGTAAAGAAAAATATCAATCATTACATTTGGAGATAACAAACTTAGAAAATCAATGAAAGGCTTCCTCCTACCTCTACTCATTGAAATAAAGATTTAGGAAAACAAATTGTTATATGTATTTAGCCTTATGTCATTAATCAGAACGGAAATCAGAACGGAAATCCACAAGCTTTTTGAAGAGAATAAAACCAAGCCCAGTCCTATAGGTCAGATCCCTATCTATAACTAGAGGTACTGTGAGCAATGAGCTCACTAAATGATACCCCCTGCCTCCCATAATGTCGATGTTTTGCTATTGTTTTACAGTAATGTGTAAAGAGGAATAACTTGTCTTATCAAATGATATCCAGAAGCTTCTATAGGTGATGTCACAGGATATAAATGTAGAATATAATGGCAATGTCCACGTTTTGCTATGGGAAACCTAAAATGCCTGTCGAATAAAAAGTAAAATAGGAGGTGCACAATGGAAATATGTAATTAAGATTCTGTGAAAGTCTCATTAAATTTCACTCAGTAGTATAAGAGGAGTTGCGGATAAGAGATGGGTACCCCAAAGCGTAACAGACGGACGGACGGACGGACAGACGGACGAAATTAACGATTACTATATACCCTCCCGCTTTTCAAGCGGGGGGTATAATGAAGTGATCCTTTTCTCATTTTGCAGTATTAGGCAGGACACAACATCTGGATTAGACTAATTCTTATTCTCTTACATATATATTTTGGCATGATCGATAATGAGAATAGATAATAATAGAAGTCAGTATTAAAGTTTAATTAATAAGAAATAAAATGCATATAAATGGCTTCAATGTCTTACTACATGAATTACAACAGATCAAATACATAACTGAGTTCGTTAATTGTTAAATGATACAAATAATCTAAGCTAAAATATACTAAATGTCATATTCATGTAATCAATGTACAATAAAAATGATCATTTTACTTAAAATAATTTAATGTGAGGGTATACAATTTTGGCTAGTGTTAGTTCAGAAAAAAGATCAGACCTGAAAATTCAAATCCGCATTTTCTGTTAATTGTTTTCAAGGTTATCACTAAAACAAAAAAGAGGAGGTTTATAAGTTGTGTCAACAATGATAGAAACAAGTTGCTCTCCTGGACTGCATTACATGGACCATATGCACTCATTTCTAAATGAAATTCTATTAAAAACAATTTCTAAGTTTATTGAATATTCAGGTAGATTCGTTTACATTTTCTACAATGATCTGCCTACTTTGACTGATAATATTTTTAAAATTGTTAAATTTTATTTCTGATTGACCTATAGTTTTGTCATTTTAAAAAATCAGACTATGTTGATAATGTAACCCACCCAAAATGGCTGTGACTTGACATCTGTTCTGGATTTGTATTGAAGAAATTTATCATTAGAAAAATAGATCTAATGACACTTGTGTAGCACAGCTCTGTACTATGCTATTTTTTCGGAGACCCCCCTCCCCCACATGGAAAACTGTTGCTACAGGCTTGTATCAAGGATGTCTTGGATTGCTGTATATCAAATTATATTACAAGCCTTCATGCACAAAACTAATACCGGTGAAGACTTGTCCTTTTAAAACCTAGAACTAGTCCTTGAATGAAGTTTATAATTCAAGTTCTTAAGTTACATGTATCTATATATTGCAAGTTCTTCCTTAAAAAGCTTGCGCCATAGAATCAATGTTTAGTTTATACATAAAATATAATTATGTATAATAAAGAAATTGGCATCTGCCAATGAATATATAAATATGATATGCAGATTTTAAAGAAAGATTTGCCAATGAATGGCATATTCTAATTCGAAAAGAGCGAATTATTCTACGGGCATGTTGTCTAAAGAGTGAACTCTCTAGCATTCTCGCGCATGCCTAGCCTGACTTTTCCCAATGGCATCTGGTTGAACCTCGTTTATATATTTACTGCGTGGAACCTGACAAAACATGACATTTTTTGGGGGGTATTAATTTTAATTTTTTTCTTTTTCAGTATGATGGTATCATTCTTCCTGGAAAGTAAAAGACTGTGTACCTAAGAAAAAAAAATAAATAAATCCAGGTCATAGGATGGGTTGTTTTATTTTTTTTTTTTAAATGTGTGTCAAAAAAAGCATGGTAAAATGTGGTGGAGAAATGATTCTGTGATCAAGACCATATATTTTATGTGTAATATTATGTCTATATTTATCAAATACTTTGCTTCAGAAAATTGTATTCACAGTATAGTCTGGTCTGATTTTTAGAAAAAAATACTTCTGATGGCAAATAATTCTTATTTGGTCCAGCATAGTTTTTTAGCCTAATTCGAGTATGCTGAATCCGAAAAAATATGCTGGCCTTCATGAAAATGGCGTTAAAGAGGTCAAAATGGCGATTCAAAATGGTGGACATCCAATTTTTCTAATTTTCTCTCAATATCGTTAAAAAAGAAGAAATAATGTGTGAATATCTTACTGAGTGTAATACAAGTATAAAAATGATAATAGAATGCTAACATTATTAGTTTTACTCAGAAAATTTAGCCGTTTTTACACTTAATTCGAATTTTCTCTGATTTATTTGTCTATTGTCTCTTTATTCTTCTTTGTTCAGGATTTTACATTTGCAAATATCCATACACTGCAAATTTGTATTTTTTCCTCTACATCTCACTATTCTACAATTGAATAATGGTGCAGCTGTAAGTTAAAAGTCAAAATGGCGATTCAAAATGGCGGATATTCCTTTTTTTCAAATTATTTCTTAATGTCGTTTACATAGGAGAAATGATTTGTGAATATCTTACTGAGCGAGTACAATTAACTAATGTAAAATTCCAGTAGAACACTAATATGAACACTTTAAAACGGAAAATTTAATCTTTTAAGTTTAAATGTGTTAATTAGCTCAAAACTCAAAATGACGTCATATTCACTCGAATTTCGTAAAATACTCAAACTGCTTGATTTTGAAAATAAATTACACTTTGTTTTTTTATATATAATTATAGTATATTGATTATTCCATTAAATATGAACAAAAAAAAAAATATCAGAAAAGATTCTTTTTTTCTGGAAATAGTTAAAACAAACTCGACTTAAGAGTTTCCAAATTTTCCCCCTCGTATTTGACCGTGTTCCAAAGCCTTTGAGCCCCCGTCCACCTAAAATCACCCCTGAATCCAGTCTTTATCAACTCGCATTTCTACCTCAACATCCCTCAGCACACCATCAAATATATTTGAGGAAATTCTTTTCCGATTTCATCGAATGCTTTTCAGCACTTATAAGAACTTAGTATTATCCCCTAACATCTATTTCAGCTTTATTTTATATGTTTCACTCTGTCTTCGGAATTTTGGTATTTTCAACACTCAAGTAAAAAGGTGCCCTGTGTCAAGGATTACAACCCACTTGGCACGTAAAAGATCTTTTCTCTGGAGTTCGAAAACGAGTAAGCTCACAGGGGGTCACTAGAGAACCAAAATCCTCCAAAAACCGATTATTCAAACTGATAGTCCGCCGAAACATGGCTGAAAAATAGCCGACTCGGCGTTAAACAATATACAGTCAATCAACACTCAAGGAACAATACATTTATGTTCAAATGTTAAAAGTCTATTTTGTTTTCCAAAACCTTACGCAAAATGAAGAAGAGGTACTGTGAGCAATTAGCTCACTAAATGATACCCTCGTCACCCATATGAATACACAGTGTCCATGTTTTGCTATGTGAAACCCAAAATATGTGTTGGATCAAAAATTAAAAGAGGAGGTGCACAATGGCAATATGTAACAAAGATTCTGTGAAAGTTTATCAAATTTCATTCAGTAGTATGAGACGAGTTGAGGATAAGAGACGGGTACCCCAAAGCGTAAAAGACGGACGGACGGATATACCGACTACTCTATACCCTCCCGCTTTTCAATTGGAAGGGGGGGGGGGTAAAAAAATATCTGATATTCAAGACATGTAGCTGTTTATTTCGTGACCGCGTATAGATTTGTTTTCTTTTAGGGTAGAAAGGTCATTCTATTAGCAAAAAAATTCTCAAACTTCATCATGTGGAATCACATTGTGTGCATATTTTGGTGAGAAAAGTTGTAAAATTATGCAATTTAATAGCGCCTGCAGATTCCTCGTGATTCCTATCACTTACAAGCTTTCGTGCCAATAGGCCTAAGCCATTCTTGACTTCGATCTAGTCAACACTTCTCTTGACAACAAAATTTTCTTGAACACTCCAAGAACTTTACAAGGCAACTTGATCCACACTTCTTCGTTAGGATAGTGTAAAGTTGTATCAAGAATCGAGGGAGGATTGAACACAAACATTTTCTTCTTTCAGATTTTGTAAATTTCAAGTAAATTTCAAAATTTTTAAATTTATATACACTGTTCAATACAAAATTGGTGGAGGAGGACCGTTCACACCATGAAATATTTGAGAATGCAGTTGAATTTTTGACTGAGAATAACAAAATGCAAATGTAGGGACAGAGAATCAGAGCTGGACAATCAAAAAAATTTATGGTTTACGTATATTATACTGATAATTCTTAATAGTTTATGTTTGGATATTATAATATATTCAGATTTATATGATGTAACAATTACTAGCCCTCTAATTGCTTGTGGTTCATCATTTAAAAAATCATACTAAGTTATGTTGCACTAGATCTTCCACATGAACATAAACATTTTTTTCTACACTGTACTAAAATTAGATCAAGGATTTCCAACAACTTATATGATTTAGCAACCCTCGAACTACAATGTTCACTCGCCTTAATGCTCGGTGAATACTGCTTCTGGGGTAGCTTAATTTTCAAATTGTCCTCAAAACAGCAATTATTGTATGATATTATTAACTTTTTATATGAAGAAGCATGAAACATGTATGACGGATAATAGGAGAAATGTCTTCGGAATTGTCGTCAAAAATTTATCTTAATAATAGAAGTAATTAAACAAATCCGTTTTATAAAAATCCTGAGTCATTAATGAAAATATCCATTAACTTTCATTACATATTTGAACATTATTTCATGAATAAAGAAAAACCTGTTATTTATTTTCTGCAAAACAAATCAGAATTAAGCAGTTTAGGTATTTTACGAAATCAAGTGTATAAAACGTCATTCGAATTGCCATTTTGAGCTAAATAACACATTTTAAATTTAAACGACTAAATTTTTCGATTTGAAGTTATCATACTAGTGTTCTATTGGAATTTTACGTAGTTGTACATCGCTCAATAAGACATTCACAAATCCTTTCTCCTATGTAAACGACATTAAGAAATAATTTGAAAAAAAGGAATATCCGCCATTTTGAATTGCCATTTTGACTTTTAACTTACAGCTGCACCATTATTCAATTGTAGAATAGTGAGATGTAGAGGAAAAAATACAAATTTGCAGTGTATGGATATTTGCAAATGTAAAATCCTGAACAAAGAAGAATAAAGAGACAATAGACAAATAAATCAGAGAAAATTCGAATTAAGTGTAAAAACGGCTAAATTTTCTGAGTAAAACTAATAATGTTAGCATTCTATTATCATTTTTATACTTGTATTACACTCAGTAAGATATTCACACATTATTTCTCCTTTTTTAACGATATTGAGAGAAAATTAGAAAAATTGGATGTCCGCCATTTTGAATCGCCATTTTGACCTCTTTAACGCCATTTTCATGAAGGCCAGCATATTTTTTCGGATTCAGCATTCTCGAATTAGGCTAAAAAACTATGCTGGACCAAATAATAATTATTTGCCGTTAGAAGTATTTTCCAGCCTTCTTTTTAAAAATCAGGACCAGACTAGTAAATTGCATTCTGCTGCAATGATACTAAAAATAGCAATTTTCTTCTTATAAAAAAATGGGAAAAAATTATATGAATCTACCCTTTAATATTTTTCTGAAAATCTTGTCAAAGATTAATGTTGAATTTAAAAAAAAAAACAACTCATTTGCCTTGAAATAAAATAAGAAAAAACTCTTCTGCAACTGAAGACTATAACAGTTATTAATTTTTAGCTCACCTGAGCCGAAGGCTCAAGTGAGCTTTTCTGATCAAAATTTGTCCGTTGTCTTTTGTCATTGTCGTCGTCGTAAACTTTTTTCACATTTTCATCTTCTTCTCAAGAACCACTTGCTACAAAGTATCCTTGGGTAGAGGGGATTCAAGTTTGTTCAATTGAAGGGCCACACCCTTTGGCAAGGGGAGATAATTATGAATTAGTGAAAAATTAATAGAATTTAAGAAAAGAAAGATGAAACTCATGTAGAATCATCTTCAGGTAGTGTAGATTTAAGTTCAAATCATGACCCCCGGGGGGTAGGGTGGGGCCACAATGGCCGATCAAAGTTTTACACAGAAGTATATAGGAAAAATCTTTAAAAATCTTCTTCTCAAGAACCAGTGGGCCAGGAAAGATGAAACTCATGTGGAATCATCCTCAGGTAGTGTTGATTAAAGTTTGTTCAAATCATGACCCCAGGGGGTAGGATGGGGCCACAATGGTCGATCAAAGTTTTACATAGGAATATGTAGGAAAAATCTTCTTCTCAAGAACCACTGGACCAGGAAAGATGAAACTCATGTAGAATCATCCTCAGGTAGTGTAGATTCAAGTTTATTCAAATCATGACCCCTGGGGGTATGGCGGGGCCACAATGGTCGATCAAAGTTTTACATGGGAATATATAGGGAAATCTTTTTAAATCTTCTTCTTAAGTACATCAAAGCCATGATTAGTGATATTTATTTGGAATTATCCTCCCTAGTGTAGATTTTAGTTTGTTCAAATCATACACCCCCCCTCCCAGGGATAGGGTGGGGCAACAATGGTCGATCAAAGTTTTACATAGAAAAGTTAGTAAAATAAAATAAAGATAAAATCCCAAGAACAGAAAAGCTATGTTTAGTCATATTGACATGTATGCATCCTCATGTATTGATGATTGAAGATTGATCAAATCATGGCCTTTTGGGTAGGGAGGGTAGGACATCTGTATGGTCACCCCCCCCCCCCC